TTTGAGCTTGGTCGAAGGACCAAAAATTTTAAAAACTGTTTTGCGTTTCTATGGGCTTGGGAAATGTTATCCAGGCTATGATATCTGCAAATTAGTTATAGAAATAGTTAAAGCAATGTTTTATAAAGTCCAAAAATAATTTTGAGACTTGTGGGGCAATAGAGAAATCCTGATATGGCATAATGAGCCTGCTCGAAGGACCAAAAATGTGTTGAAAATCTTTTAAGCATTTGGGAAAATTATAAAGGTACTTTAAACCGTCGTGAAACCTAAAAAACAAGTAAAGCAAAGTCTTACGGAACCTCAATGCAATTTCGGCACAGGTGAAGAACGAAATAATTCCAATAAAGCACATTGAGCTTCCTCGAAGGACCAAAAATTGGCTTGAAAATTATTCAAATATGCCATAAACATTGCAGGAAATTTTCAAGGCAGCTAAACCCGGCCAGAGAGCTCAGAAACAGTTAAAGCAACATTTTACGAAGGCCGAATACGATATTGACAAATGTTAGGTAGGAAAAAATCGAATATTGTACTTTGAGTCTGATCGAAGGACCAAAAATGGCATTGAGAATTGTTTAAAGACGCCATAAACATTGGAGTAAATTCTCCAGGCAACTGAAACCACACAGAGACCTTAGAAACAGTTAATGCTATATTTTTTGTAACCCGAATGCGAGTTGGACTTATGTTATGAAAAAAAGAATCCTAATATGGCACTTTGAGCCTGCTCGAAGGACCAAAAATTGCCGTGAAAATGATTTAAAGATCCCTTAAGCATTGCAGAAAATTCTCCAGGCAACTGAAATTGCCCAGAGAGCTCAGAAACAGTTAAAACGACGTTTTACGAAGGCCGAATACGATATTGACAAATGTTAAGAAGGAAAAAAATCGAATATTGCACTTTGAGCCTGCTCGAAGGACCAAAAACTGCCTTGAAAATTATTTAAAGATACCATAAACATTGGAGTAAATTCTGCAGGCAACTGGAACCGCTCAGAGACCTTAGAAACAGTTAGCGCTATATTTTTTGTAGCCCCAACGGGAGTTGGATATATGTTATGAAGAAAAGAATCCCAATATGGCACTTTGAGCCTACTCGAAGGACCAAATAGTCACTGAAAATGGTTTAAAAATCCCATTTAGCCTTGGGAAATTATTCAAGGCACAAGAAACTGTCAAGAAACTTCAGGAATAGCTAATATAGAGTCTCACGAGCCCCAAAAAAGTTATTTTGACTCACCTTTTATTGTATTTTGAGCCTCATCAAAGGACCAAAAATATTTTGAAAATATTTTTAAGACCCCAAAAACATTGGAGGCAATTGTTAAGGCCACTGAAACCGTCCAGAGGCCTCGGAAGAACTAAAACCAAGGTATTATGAAACCCAAATACAAATTCCAAACTAATATTGCATATTGAGCCTCCTCGAAGGACCAAAAATGACATTGGAAATATTCTCCCATGTATTTTCTCTATATCCATAGAGATCATATGTTAGTTGCTCTTCTTGAAAATAAAAATTTGTGAATATTCCAAAAAAAAGCCCTACACTTGGAAATGAAGAACTTAAAAATATTATTAAGTGTTAATATTAAAAAATATTATTATTAAATTAATTCTCCCATACCCCTGCAGCAAATGTGTTATAAATATTTTCCAACACTTCTCTGAAGACTTCTGGTCTTCAGTTGATGACAATGACAATAATCGTTATTGACATGGCTTAAAAGACTAATGACCTGGCCGGCCAACCACCTAACCTAGCTGCCATTAACTATTTTTTTCCTCTTCTTCTACTACTTTTCGTTATGAACTTGTCATTGACAACTGTCATCACATTTCTCTTCTGTTTTCATTCTGTTGTTTGGCGTTCAAAGAATGTGGTTGCTTGAACTTTAACAACATTTAGTGGGGTTTTTATTGGAGAGAAGAAAAAAAAAACCAATCCAAAATATTAATAAATTATGAAATGGATAAGTATTGAATTATTTATGAACCGGATAATAAATAAGCTGTTTATGGAGGTACTGGCGGACAAGCTGGTTAGCTGTTGGCCAGTCGGTCAGTCAGCTCGTGTGGCCTTTGGTGGCTTCGCCTAGTTGTCTGGCAGTTTGTCTAATTATGTAGATGAGGTGTTGAGTGGAGGGAGTAGGAAAGGGGAAGAGGGGCAGAGGGAAAGAGAGTGTTTTGGGAACTGCTTAACTAATATTTAGTTTGATTTTGAGAGGCATGACAAAGGGTAGGGGCGGGGGGATATTGAATAAATTATTCTAACAAAAATGGTGTAGAATTTACTTTGAGTTGGGAGGTGGGGCTTGGTGTGATTTTCAAAAATATTCCGAATTTTGTTTATCATAATTAAAACCATTTTTCCGGTTGGGGGGGGGGGGGGGGGGAGATGTAACCTCGTCTGGGTAAGCAAAATTTCACAGCAACTATATACCCAAAGAGGGACTGACATATATGGCTTTTTACGTCAATCAAAAGCTAACCAAATCTTAATTTAAAAATATTTTTAAATTATTTTTGTTCACTTGAGTGAATATTAATTTATCATAACAGTGTGCGACAAAATTCAAATGTTTCAATAATTACGGCAAAAATACAAAATAAATAAAAAATAACCAAAATAGAGGGAGCAAGTTCTTCCCCCCTCTTCCACATTTCTAGAAGAGTTTACATCAAGATTCCTCGGAATCCATTGATTTTAGGTATAGGGTGGCTTTGGCAATATTGCAGATAAAAATACGGCAAATATTTTCGTTGGAAATTTTAACCCTCAAGCGAGACAAGAAAAGGGTCTTTTTGGTCCCGTTGCGAAAATATGGTTCAAAACTCCCTTTTAACGGTATCGTAGCAAGTCGAAATATTCTACAAAATTATTTGTCATAGAATTCTACTATGGGTCCCAGATGACATCAAAAGTCGAAATCCTACCTAAACGCCAGAAATCAACATATATACAAAATATACATTTTAGGGTTAAAAACGTACTGCATACGAGTTTATGGCAAAATCTCCTAGAAAACATTGTTTTTGGTGAAAGACATCAAAGACACAAGTATTCCTCAGCAAATTTCACTATGAGTCACTGAAGAAAAGAAATCTCATTTTCCAGTGTATATCAAAAAAATATTGGCCTCAAAGTTCCCATAAAAAACCGAAAATATTTCTTGGGTTTTTGATAAAATTTTTCCTCCGTCTTTTTTCGATTTGACGCCTGAAAGTAACATAAAATTTCGTTTTAGGCATAAGGTCTCAGAAGAAGAAATATTCTACACCAAATTTCACTATAAATCCCAGAATGAGCCATATATCTAGGTGCAATAGTTTTAAGGAAAATTGTGTTCAGAATATAAATCCTAATATTGAAAATTATGTATTTGCTTTTTTGTACTGTTAATTTAACACGTATCCAATCGGAGTAAAAAATCTCCCTTTATACTTGATTTTTTTGGCAAAGTATCAGAGGAAGAATTATTCTAAATCGAATTTCATTGTGAGTCTTCGAACAAAAGAAATCTCTATTTGTATTGTATATAGAGAAAAATTTTATATCAATGTTGACAAAAAAAAAACGAAAATATCCCTTAATTTTTTAACAATTTTCTCCAGAGCTTTTCGAGTTGACGCCTCATATTAATATAAAACTTCGTTGTATGCATAAGGTATCAAAGAAAGAAATATTCTACACCAAATTTCACTATAAATCTCAGAAGAAACCAAATACCTACATGCAATAGTTTTTATGGAAATTTTATTCAAAATATAGGTCCTAAAAATTGAAAATTATGTCTTTGCTTTTTTGTACGGTTAATTTTACACGTATCCAATCGGAGTCAAAAATCTCCCTTTATATTTGATTTTTTGGACAAAGTGTCCGAGGAAGAATTATTCTAGATCGAATTTCATTGTGAGTCTCTGAACAAAAGAAATCTCTATTTGTAATGTATATAAAGAAAATTTATATATCAATGTTGCCAAAAAAAATGAAAATATTCCCTAATTTTTTAAAAAAATTTCCCCAGGACTTTTTTCGATCTAACGCCCGACAGTTTGCCAAAATTTCCTTTTAGGCATAAGGTATCAAAAGAAGAAATATTCTGCATCGAATTTCACTATAAATCTTAGAATAAACCATATACCTAGGTGCAATAGTTTTAAGAAAAAATTTTGTTCAATATTTAGGTACTCAGGAAAATTGCGACTTTTTTCTTAATTTTTTAGTGATTTTGATTTAAAATTTGCTATTCATATTTTCTTCTAATATTTTTTTATTCATAAAATTATTTAATCTGTTATTCATAATATTTTTTTTGCTAATTTTTTTATTCCCATTCAATATTGTGTGACTAATCAATGGCGCAAATAATTAATAATCCAGCAAAGCAGTTAATTTATAAAAATTTGCATTTTTTCTGAGTCTCTCTTTTTCTAAATGTTTTTTCTTGTGATTCATTTCAAATAGTAATCAAATAAATGTTAATAATTTTTTTCTTCTCCTACCCAACACACATGCACACCCTGCCTGTCCCGCTCGGGTATTGAAAATGACCATTTAATAATTTATTAATTGCTAAATGCCTTAAAAAGTTGTCGGTAATGTCCGACCAGTTCGAGGTTTTTTTTATTGGGGTTTCCATTTAATATTCTAGCTGAGCATTCTGGTATTGTATCGAAAAAAGCCACAGTTTAAATTAAACACCCAACACCTTAAAAGGTTCCATAAAAAAAGGGGGTGGGGAGGTCCATATTTGGTCTTAACACAAGTCTTCAAGTTGTTTGAACTTCCCAAATTGCGTGGCATTTTTAATGAGTTTTTAATGTTTATTGTTTTTTTTTTCTCTATTTTTTGTTGTTGTTCAGGTAATGATTTTCCAACGGAAATTGATTATTGCTGGAGTTTAATGTCTGTGTTTTTTTTGGTGTGTTTTAAATTCATGTTTTACAACAAAAATTAATTGCTAATTTTTTTCCTTCTCTCTCTTTCATTGCAGCCTTGAATATTCATAATTATGGTGAGTTTTAGAAGTTTTTATATAAAAAATAATAAATATTAATCATACGCCACTTTGTCTTTAATTCAAAACAATTATTAATAATCATACGCCACCTTGTTTTCCTCTTCAAAACATTAATTAATAACAATCATACGCCACCACCTTGGCGTTTCAATGAATTCTGATTGAATTTGCTTCGCTCTCTCTTTCTCTCATTCAAAAAATTTTCCCTCCACTTCATTCTATTAAAACATAATCTGATTAAATCATTTTGCCTATTGACCCACAGCTGTAACCGCTTCCATGGCAGGCAACCAGGCAGCCCACTAGCCAGCCATCCATCCATTCGTTCAATCAATCAAAATCAATTTACAACACGCCATCAATTAATAAAGGAACAGAAAACCGGTTACCCAGCTCCATTCCTCGCATTCCGGGGAAGCTAGACAAGAATAGAAAAAAAAATACTTTCAAAGAATCAAATCAATTTGGGATTTCCGACCAAATTGTTGGGAAAGAATAAGAGACTATCCATAATTATTCCCTTTCTGAGATGGGCAACAATATCAACAAAAATTTGGAAGAAACTAATGATTAAACAAGGAAAATGAAAAAAAAATTCAGACCAAAATTGGGATTTCCGACCATTTTTTTATTTTTTTTTTCTCATTTTATTTATTAATTTATTTTTTATTTATTTTTTTTTTATTTTTTTCAAGAGACTCTAAGATATATTGGCTGATTAATTTTCCCCATTTTCCAAAATTGGGATTTCCGACCAATTTTTTTGAAGAGACTCTTAGATTTCTTGTCTGATTAATTTTCCCTTTTTTTCTTAAGGGGACACAATTTTAAAGAACCTAATAACCAGGCAAGGGAACTGAAAATAAATCAGACCAAATTCGGGAATTTCGACCATTTTTTCGAAGTGATTATAAGACTTCCGATCTGATCAAATTTCCATATTTTCCTTCAGGGAACGGTAAGAAAAATTTTAAGACCCAAATCACAAGTAATGACAACTGAAAAAAAACTCATACAAAAATTGGGATTTCCGACCAATTTTTTTAGGGAGAGTCTGTCTTGTCTAAGTTTTTTTTTTGTGATTTTTCCGATAGGAGTACTAGTTTATCTCTATTTTCCTATAGAAGATTATAAAAAAAAATTAAAAAAACAAAAAACAGAAAATGTGTACCAAAATTGGTATTCCCGCCAATTTTTTAAGGAGAGAGAATCTCCTGTTTTTCATTGCTGAGATGTAAAACTAATTGCCTTCGATGTTGTAAGTGATTAAATGTTCATCTTATAAAAATGTCAAGACACTTTTGAAGGTCCTAGTAAAAAAAATTAAAATTTCGACCTTTTTTTTTTTTTGGAATGCCCCACCATAATTTTCTTTGTTGGGAAGGAAAAAAACACTTATCTAAGAATTCTATTTTGAATGGGGTTTCCTCATTTTTCTACCAAAAAATTTAAAAAAATGCAAAATTTTTTACCAAAATTGGTATTTTTGACCACTTTTTTTCAAAGAGGTCCTAACCAAGTGAAAATAATTAATTTATGTTATTTATTGGTACCAAAATTCGTATCTCTGACCAATTTAATTGGTCTTACACGTTTTCGCCCGGCTAAGAAAGAGAAGTAATTATCTGAGGTTTCTATTGTGATCAATTTCTCCCCATTTTTGTACAAACTAATCTTAAAAACTGGAAAATGTTAAATTTGGTATTTCCGACCATTTTTTCTAAAGGGGTCCTCATCGCATTTTCCCATGCTGAGAAGAAAAAATAATTATAGATATTATTTGTTATAAATTTTTAGTTATTTTCCGGAACTGAAAAAAAAATCCTACCGAAATTGGTACTTCCGACCAATTTTTTAAAAGATGTCCTCATCATACTTTCCTTTGCTGAGAAGAAAAAAACAATTATCTTGGATTTCTTTTTTTATTAATTTTCCCCAATTTTTTGGTTGGAAAAAAAAAATCCTACCAAAATTTGTATTTCAGATCAACTTTTTTAAAGAGGTCCTCACCTCATTTTCCTTTGCTGAAAAGAGAAAAATAATTATCTTGAATTTCTTTTTTTATCAATTTTCCCCAATTTTTAGGTTCGAAAAAAAATCCTACCAAAATTGGTATTTTTGATCAACTTTTTTAAAGAGGTCCTTATCATATTTTCCCCTGGCTGACAAGAAAACAAATTTTCTATGATTTATTTTGTTGTGATTTTTTCCCTTTTTTCCAGATTTGAAAAAATCCTACCAAAATTGATATTTTCGACCATTTTTTAAGACTGGTGCTCACCATATTTTCCTTTGCTAAAAGAACATGAGTAATTATCTAAGACTGTTGTAAATTTTTGCATTTTTTCGGAATTAAAAAAAATCCTACCAAAATTGGTATTTCCGACCAAACTTTTTCAAAGAGGTCCTCGCCATATTTTCTCTTGCTGACAAGAAAACAAATTTTCTAAGCTTTATTTTCTTATGATTTTCCCTATTTTCCGGATTTAAAAAGATTCTACCAAAATTAGTATATTTCCGACCATTTTTTTAAGATTGGTGCTCACCATATTTTCCGTTGCTAAAAGAAAAAGAATAATTATCTAAGACTTCTTTGGATATATGTAAATTTTTCCATTTTTTCCAAAACTGAAAATATCCTACCAAAATTGGAATTTCCGGCCTTTTTTTAAATTTATTTATTTTATAGTTTCCTTTGCTGAAAAAGAATAATTATCTAAGATTCCTTTAGTTATACATTTTTCCATTTTTCCAGAACTGAAAAAAAATCTACCAAAATTTATATTTCCGACCAATTTTTTTAAAGAAGTCCTCACCATATTTTCCTGAATGAGAAGAAAAAGAAACAATTATCTTGGATTTCTTTTTTTATTAATATTCCCCAATTTTCCTTTTCGAAAAAAAATTCTACCAAAATTGGTATTTCCGACCAATATTTTCAAAGTGGCCCTCGCCATATTTTACCTTGCTAGAAAGAAAAAAGAATATTTTATCTAATATTTTTTTGAAATTAATTTCCCCCAATTTTTCGAAACTAAAAAAAATCGTACCAAAATTCGAATTTCCGACCAATTTCTCTAACAGGGCCTCATCATGTTTTTCATACTGAAAAATGAATATAATTAATTAATGTTTCTTGTTTGTTTAATTTCTTCCCATTTCCCTGTAAAAAATCCAAAATCTGTAATGGAAACCCTAATCATAAATTCAAAGCAAACACAAATGGACGAAAAGATGGATGAGAGGCTGGATGGATGGCCGGCTGGCTGGATGGCTGGTTGTTTGTTCTTGTGATGTGTATGACTCAATTTCCACAACAATTTATTCTGGAAGTCATTTACTATGGCCTTCCTCTTCCCCAACTCTCTATCACTCTCAATCTCCTCCCATTTGCCTGCCATCAAGGAAGTAGTGAAAGTGGAAATTAAAGAAACTAAGAACGTAATAAAAAAATTTCCAGAATTTCATTACGACTACTACTACTTCGTCGTCTTCTTTATAGTTCCTCATTTTTACTACTCTTTTCACTTTTGTTTATTGTCTTCTTCTGTTTTTTCCTCTTGGCTCTGGAAATCTGATGAAAGCCAAACAAATTGACCTTCACACAAAGAGCCAAGCAAACCAAAAAAAACTGAATCAAACAAATATCCAAACATCCACACATACATACATACATAAATGCACATATACATATATACACATACACACACACATACATATATGCATATTTACATTTGTATGTTCTTCTTTTCGAAGTTCATCTGTGTACATACAGTAGTTTTCCGGGCAATCTATGAGCCTATGAAAAAGCCAAGAGCAGCAACAACAAAAGTCCTTGTCTCAATATCATTTGTGTAAATATTTTACTTTATTTTTGGGAGGGGGTAGTGGGGAACAGGAATGGGGAGAGGAGGCGGCTGTCAAGAAAAACAAGCAAACTTTTTTTTCGTTTTATTTTATTTGTGTGTATTTTTATATTCATAGTTCCAAAAAGCCGGAACTTTCTTTAACCAACCCCCCCGCTCCGCTTCGCAGTGCAATAACACTAACTAACACTTAAACAGAAATGGCAAATATTTATGTGGCGATGTACATGAAATCTACAGCAAAGGACGAACATTTGGCAAAGATAATAATTGGAATTTAGCAAAAATTAATTTCTTTTGAAAAGAAAATTTACAAAATTTTGGACAAAAAACTAAACAGTTTTTGTAAAAAAAATAATTCAGCAATTATTTATAGGAAAAATAACAGTTAATTTTTTATCAGTTTTTTTTTTTTTTTTTTGAAAAAAATACGATATCTAAAAAAAAAAAAAAAACAAAATTGGAAAAATTTTGTAAAAAATTAGTTCAGCAAAGTTTTTTTTCATAGGAAAAATAGCCGTTCATATTTCTTCCGTTTTTTTTTCTTTTGAAAAAAAAAGTTAAAATATTTACACGAAAAATATTGGAAAAAAAAATTATAAGAAAAAAATCCGTTAATTTCTCCTCCAATTTTTTTCTCTTTGAAAAAATAAAAATATTTAAACGAAAGAAAAAATTGAAAAAAATTGCAACAATTTTGTTAAAAAATAATTCAGCTAAGTTTTTCTATAAAAAAAAAAAACAAACGAAAAAATTTGAAAAAAAATTGTGAAAAAAAATAATTCAGCTAAAAAAATAAATATTTAAACGAAGGAAAAAATTTAAAAAATGCAATAATTCAGCTAAAAAAACAAACGAAAAAAAAAGTTTGAAAAATGTTGGAAAAAATGTAATTTAACTAAGATTTTTTCAATAAAAAAAAAAACAAAAAAATATGATTGGTGGCCCTTTCTCAAATCATCCTACCCTCTGATAAAAACTACAATTTTTTACTAAAAAATAAACGTGGTTTTTATTAAAAACAAAAATAATGAGACTAAACCTGACACTTTTGGACCAAAAAAAAATCTGACTTTTTTTTCCTTTATTTTTTTTTTTTTTTTTTTTGCAATTTTGAACAGAAAATTA